TTTGGGCCCTAATAATAAAGGAAACACTGGATATTGTAAACAATAGCCTTCTTTTTTTTTTTTTTTTTGCCTTTTCTCCATTTTTCTTTAGTCTTTCAATAAAAAGCATAGAGCAAATATTAAAAGTAGGTTTTGAATGAGTTTATATAGTTACTTGCTAGATTGGTTCTATAACTTCTTCATCTTCTTGCTTAGAAAAATTATTGAGTCAAATTATGCAATTCTTTCAAGTAATATATGCTTTTGTCAAGAGAGTACAAGGAATGCAGGAAGTCCCATGTTCTAGTCCAAGACAATAGATGTTTTGGATAAGAGTTTTCAAGCTTGGGTTCACTAACCTAAGAATTCCCAGAAGGCATCTTAATGTTTAGATTCTTGGCTTTTCTCCATGCATTGCTGATTGGGCAGGTAGAAGGCAAGGCCCGGGAGTGTGCATTGCTGACTCAGTTTCCAGGTGGTGGTGCTGTTGCTAACCTAGGGATGTACAGATGCTTTGAGATGTACTGTTTCAGAATATAATCTCATATTCCAAACTCAGTGGAATTCATGTATGGTTAGAAGTTCTGTTAATTTATCACTTTGTTTTGTTTTCTTTTAAAATCAACTTGCTCCATTGCATTGCCTCGCAAATATTATAATATTTTTGTCAGGCCTAAAGACAAGAGTTACAATGGTACACATATTGATGTTTGATGATGTAAAAGTAGATTCCATCATGCACAGAATCATTTAAGTTTCTTTCAATAGAGATCTTGTTATTTGTCTTAACACACACAAAAAAGAAGCAGATGTGGTGGCATACATTACTAAGAAAAGAGGATGGTGGCACGGCTTACTGGGTTTTACAGTCATTGTCAGGAACTCCAAGCTTCCCAAAGTGAAAGTTGGTATAATTTAAAAAAGATAAAATTATTCCTGTCAAGTTCTATGGGGATTTGTATGACATTTTCTAATCTCAAAATCTTCCAGGAGCATCTTTCACTTCCATGCTACTTTTCATAAATTTCATTTTTAGCTTTTATTGCTTTAACCAGAAGCTTTTACATTTGGTCTCAGAAAAGGATTTCTGACTCCATGGGGAATTATTCTTCACTCTCAACAATGTTTGATATTGTAGATAAAATGTCACACCTTGAAATCCCCATTCTAGGTTAGACTGCCCCTGTGACTGAGTGGGCTTTGAAATGAACAAGAAAATGATAAGAACAGCAAGCACAAAGGGACTTGAACTTGCAGAAACGTCTTCCTTACTTGATCACCAGGAAGTGTTTCTAAAATACCTTAACGATCTCTTTTGTGTCTATATTTGTTATAATGTAGGTCTGGGGTGTTCCCCAGATACTTTAGATTTTTAGAGGTGAAGCTATTGCAAGGTGGTTGCATCATGAGGCCTTGTATTCATCCCCGAGATAAACCACTGCAGAATCTGCAGCCAAGGGCTCTGCTAGAAGGTGGTGCCTCTTTGGAAGAAGTGGATCACTGAGGGCATAGCCTGCAAGGCTTGGCCTCCTTCCCAGCACCCCTCCTCAAGCTCAACTTCCGGGTGTCCATACTGTGAGCAGCTTTGCTCCACACAGGGCCCTCAAGCATGCCCTTCCTGCCCTATAACAAGCCAACTATGGGCTGAACAGCCAAAATAACTGGTCCTCTGACTTGTTAGTTTTAGTGATAAGAGAACAGCTAACATAATACTTGGTATAATCTTGAGATATCTTCTGCAGTATTGTTTCTGCTGCTTATTTGTATCTGATAAAATGAAAATAGTGATATTTCTCTTTCTCTGAATCCCTCATAAATAGACCTTTTATACTCCCCTTTAAGAAAACATGGAGGGTTTTGTTATGTTTGCTCAGTACATCTTCACAAAATAAAAAGAATTATGGGGAAGAAACAGGGAAGAAGTAAAGCAGGAAGTAGGGAATGAAGAAGAGGAGAAAATCCACCAATGAACTTCTAGGAATGCATCACTTTTTCTCAAAACAATATGGATTAGGAAGGCCAACCATTAGTTAAGTGTATATATGTTTTTATATTTTTACTCTAGCCAAAGAGAAAATTTCCCCAACAAACACTTGGAGGGCCAGCCAGATAGTTCAGCAGATGAAAGCGCCTGCTGAGGCAGAGCACAGCGGCCAGGGTTCAGTCACCAGAGTGCTGTGCTGGCCCTGCCTTCCAGGACACACTGAGAAGGCCATTAAGACTCAGTGTGGTGACGTTTGCCTGTAATCCCAGCGCTTGGGAGGCTGAAAACAAGCGAATCACTATTAGCCTGATTTATGTAGTGAGACCCTGTAGAGCCTGTAGACCTTGTACCAAATACATGAAAACACAAACACAAACAAAAACAAAAACAAAAAACAAAACAAAACAAAAACACTTGGGAAAAGAGAGGCCTAGTGATTCAGTCATCTTTAAAGCGAAATCTGGCTCAGTGTCAATTACGCAAGTTTCTTCATAGATACAATTTTTGTTCTTTCAAATATATTTATCTCAAAATATCATTATATTAAGTCATTCATCCTATATCAGAGCTAGGAGGATCATTTCATTTATGAAGCAAGGTTGAAAGATGTATTTCAAGAGTCAAGAAAATTACCACTAGGTGCATTTATAAATAAAAGCAAAACAAATCAAGAAACTTCTCCATTATGCTTTCTCCTAGATGAAGGCCTCACCATTTTTTATAATGTAACATCCTGGGCAGCATTGTAAAGTAGGCAGTTTGATATTGAATCTCAAATATATTTTCTGTGGTTTTACAATGGCCTCTTTCAAGTTCCCAGGAAATGTGTAATTTTACAGAACTCTGAGTGTCCCAGTTCCAAGCATAACTATTTGATCTACAGACTACAAAGTTAGCTCTACTTCTTCTTCATCTTCCTCATTATTATCATCTTTCCATTTCATCTTCCTCTCTTTCTTAACTCAGTGTAGTTGATTTCCAATTGATTCTTGGGTGAAATAATTTGATAAAATGATTTCATGTTAAGATATGCTGAACTTTGCAGACAGAAATCTCTAAGAATTAGTAGCATACAATAAAAGGAGAAATTACTTCTCCAAACTCAACTTGTTGTAATTAATGTCCTAGTAGAACGTCTCCTAAATTTAATGTGTCAATTACTTCACAAGAGAATCAGGCAGCTTGTGTCTAACATGGGCTAAAATTTTTAAAAGGGATATTTTAAAATGTGTAATACAATTTACTGTTAGCCAAGTAGTACTTTGATTCCAGTAGCATCTATTTAAAATAAAATTACAATGAGTACCATAAAAAAAAAACCCTCAAATTACCAGTGAACTGCAAGGGTAATTGTTTTAGGAAAAGTTAATCTGTATTTAATTTTTCTAAACTATATATTCACAACACTGAAAATGGTCATAATCTCCCTATTTCAGAGTAAATAGATTATTTCTTTGTGATAATAGCCACATATGTTCATTAACATGCTCTCATAAACAGTTGCATTGAATGTATTGTATATTCTGTGACATAAATAAAATGTTCAATATGAGATTATTTTTCAAGTATAGGCCCAAGGAAGAACACAAAAGCAATAAATGTTTTTTAATATAGTTGCCTGATCTTGACTTCTGAATTTATTCGCACCCTATTAATGCTACTTGCATAGAAATTGCAGGCATTATTCTAGGGAAGTATCTTGACATTAGAGCTTCTTTCTGATTGCTCACCCTTAGTGTGTCTCTTGTGAAGTGATTGCGAGCTTGGAGAGATGGGAGAGGTATGGACAGCCCAACCCACGCTCCTGAGCTTAGAGCAGGGATCAGTTAGTGAGGCCCTCCACATATGTTACTACCAGATGTTCCCTAACTGGGTATTGAATTTAAAGATACAGAGAAATTAGGATGCTAATGAAACTGAGGTCTTTATCCTGAGAAAAATGAAAGCCAAAACGTAATTTGGGTGTACTTTTAATGAAATGAAATGCTGCTTCAAAAGAAAAAAAGGAACAGTACAAGAAAATGTTCACGGCCCATACATTTTTATCCAAGGTACTTTAGAAGAAAATGGAATTAAGCAGTGGTATGGAAATTCAGTTAGACTCTAAGAATGATTAAATATTGAAAACAGGATTCTAGGGGGACATTATAGAATCTTTAGCCTCGGAGTTTGTAGGAAATGAAAGTGAAAGGATTTGAATTTGATTTAGTTAGTATACACCTTAGGTCCAAGGTTCAGCCCAGTGACTTCCAGGGACCTTTTCAAGGTCTTTAACAATCAAGTGTTCTGGCAAAGGCTGACAAATTGCCAGATTTTAAAAGTGCATGCTTTAATTATGTTTTTCCATCCTTTGAGATTCTTGAATGACTTTTTATTCTTCCTGTTGATTGCTTATATTCATTTATGTTTATGAGAACAAAAAACAATACAACTATAATATTCTTTCAGATATACAAGCCCATGAGAAACATTTAGATGGAAATTAAAACATTTCAGGGATTTTAAGTAGTGGCTTTATTGACATACTCGTGCAGATAGGATTTACTTATTTTAAAAACCCATCTGAGCTTTGCTCTAAATAACTTCACCCATGTTGTTGATATTTACTCTTTATAAAGCACTAGGTCTGAATAAATTTTTAATTCATGGTGCCATAGAAAGAATGAAAATTTTAAAAGAATCCCTTAAATTTTAGCTAGCATGTTACTCAATATTGCTTCATTAACATACCTGAGATGGTTTAGAAAATTTTCATTATTTCTAAGTTATTCATATGTCAGATATATGATATATGATATATTTATAATTTGTGATTTCTTAATTTTCCATAGTATTATTTTGGTGACAGTTTTTTCACCAATTATGGGTAACTCAAACAGATACTTCTAACACAATATCTGTGTTTTTATGTTTATTCCTGGACAATTTTCTAAACATTCTAACCTTTTTGAAAAAGTTTTATAAAGAAAAGACAGAGAATTTCCCTCTGAGGCTTCCATGAGTGCATAACATATTTCCTTTCGTTCTCCTCTTTCAGGTTTCCAAATTAAAGCTTTTGCATCCCTGCGCTTCCTGTCAGAACCCTCTGATGCGGTCACAATGCGGGGAGGAAACGTCCTTCTGAACTGCTCTGCAGAGTCAGACCGGGGAGTGCCAGTAATCAAGTGGAAGAAAGATGGCATCCACCTAGCCTTGGGGATGGACGAAAGGAAGCAGCAGCTTCCAAATGGGTCCCTGTTGATACAAAACATACAGCATTCCAGACACCACAAGCCAGATGAGGGAGCTTACCAGTGTGAGGCATCTTTGGGAGAGTCTGGGTCCATCATCAGCCGGACAGCAAAAGTCACGGTAGCAGGTATGAGGGTCTGCGCTCTTCCTCGTTCTCCACCACCACCTGCTTTCCTTCCTTTTCTCCTCCTCCTCCTCCTCCTCCTCCTCACCACTTCTTGTTCCTTTATGGGGATAAGAAAATAATCTTTATGGAAACAATGTACATTTTAATTTTTGAATTGAAAAATACATTTTATGTGCTATTGTGTGATGTTTTGATGTACATATATAGTAGAACGATTCTATCAAGCTGATTAGCATATCCATAACCTTACATCCTTAATTTTTTGATGAAAATTCTAAAAATTGCTCTTCTAGTGATGTTGAAACACTCATATTCTCATATTTGTTTACCATTGTCACAATGCTGTGTGATGTTTTTCCAAAATACATGCCTCTTGTCTAACTAAAATGATGGATCCTTTGTCAAATAGCTCCCCAGTCTCCAGTCCAGTACTCCTTTGGTGACTGCTTCTGATGACTACCATTCTATTCTTTCTTCCATGAACTTGATTTCTTAGTCTCCACCTAAAGTGAATTCATGCAGTATTTGTATTTCTGTGCCTGACTTGCTTCACTTAGTGTAACATTCTCCAGATTCATCCATGTTCTCAGAGATGACAGGAATTCCTTCTTTTCTAAGGCTTAGTTTGCCTCCTAGTTTGATTTTGTAACTAGGACCTTGTGAATAATGAGGCAATGAACATGAGAATATAGATATTTCTATGCCATACTGATTTTACTTTTTTTGGATACATATATCCAGTATGGAATTGCTACAGCTAATCTAATTTTAATTTTAGAGGTATCTTTCTACTGTGTTCCATGTTTGCTGTATTCATTTACTTTCCTACCAGCAATGTATGTTTTTTTAAAGAAAAGAAAGACTTTTAAAATTTATTTTCATGATCTTGATTGACTTTTCTCCTTAAATCAGTTTGGGGAACAGGAAGAAAATCTCAATGATCAAAATAGCATTAATAGATATTTTTAAAGAAGCTTGTTCAAGTTAATTCCTTATTGTATGTATGGGAGAACTTTTAATTAAATGAAAATTAATAACTTTTTAATTCTTAATAAAATATTACTTTTTTACAGCTTCACTGATTTTGAACCTTTATGATTTTTTCCCCATAGAGCTGTTCATTTTATTTTAACTATAATGGCATGACCTACAACATGTTGCTCTCAAGTGAACAGTAAAATTTTGTACTCGTCCTTTTAAATATCTCAGTGCTTGGTAACAGATTGACTCAACAGCTGAAAGATACGATGATTTTTTATTTTTATTCTTTACTGCAAACACTGATGATAGGTAGACTCTGACACAACAGTGCTAAATTTTCTGGAATCCACGGTACTGGTATTTCTGCTCCAATAATCTGGTCAGAAGGCAGATAATATTATTTCTTATGGCTCCTAATCTGTTATAAGTGCAGGGAGTGGAATCTGAATCTTGCCCTTATTTGTTTCTATAACGAATTGACTAAAACCTAGAGTAAGTAATATTAAAATTTTGATGTGGAACATTAAATAAGGCAAATGGATCCAACCTGAACCCAATTGAAGCCATCACATTGCTGAAACAATGGGAGCCGCAGCTCCCACACCTCTTCACTTCTAGTGATGGTTAGATTACATCGAAATCTGAAGGAGACGGTTTTATCAGTAATGATAGAAAGAAAGGTCTCATAAAAATGCCATCAGTTCCCAAAGCCAGCCTCATACTGCTTTTGAATGGCTCCTTCTCCGCATGAGACTGTCTTACAGACTATTTTCCCCTCTCAAAATCCCTATGCTGAAGTCTGAACTTCTGATGTAATAATTACAAGAGCTGAGGCCTTTAATGATAATTAGGGTATGAGGCTCATTAGGGACCTTGTAAAGAGAAACTGAGAAAATTCTATTGCTTTTTTTTTTTTTTTTTTTTTTTTGGTCTTATGAGAACATATAAGACCTGAGAATCTACAGTGCGTAAGAGGACACCCACCAGAAAGAAGTTACACTGGTACTCTGATCTATCAGACCTCCAACCTCTACTACCATGAAAACTAATTGCTGTTGTTCATAGGCCAGCTGGTCTTTGTATCCTTGTTGTGACTTTTCTATACCAGAAAAACCACAGTGAGCTCACCAAACATGTCCTGGAGCTTCCTTCACCTACACGAGGAGTAGACATTCATTCTGATTCATCCTAGCTGACCTAGGTTTAGTATTTCAAAGTCCCTTGTCCTGGGAAGCCCTTCAGTACCAGGTGAAATTAGGGTGTTAGGTAGAGGTAACCCTGGCTGCTTTAGCAAGGACAGCCTGAGGAAATAGGGAGGTGACACCCTGATCACAGAAACCAAGGTTTAAGCCACGTGGAACCTGTGAGTGATGTATGTCTGAAATTTGATTGATAAGCATAATGCATAGTGAGAAATGAAAGTTAATGATAATTATGATTGATTAAGAGGAACAAACAAAAAGCATGAGGGAGTAGGTAAAAGCTGAGTCCCAAGATGCTCCAAGTGAAAGGCGATGAACTCACTTGTGAATTTCTGGACCCTAAGAACCCCACCCATCAGTTTTCTTTAGTACCAGAGATGCTCTGTGGGCTTGAAGGGGTCAAGATGGCCTTGTGACGTCCTATTCCAAAAGGCAGCAACGAAGGCCCTACTAGTGAAAACAACCAGATTTGCCAGTTTCGGCTTTCTTGCAATCTAGCTTCCCTTTTACATGTTTCCTTTCAATGGTGAAATGAAGAGTGATTCTTTCCCTGTGAGATATTAAAATAAAGTGGCTCTGACTTTAGTATTCTGTACAAGGATAGGCTCGCAGATTCAGTCATTGAGTAGCAATCTAATATTAGATGGTATCATTTCAAGGCAATAAGGCTGCTCGTAGCATTTTAAACACTCACCATGCTGTTTGGCAACACAGAATACATCAATGTTATGTCTGCTGAGGTTAAGATTGCCAAACCACTAGAATTCACTAGGGGCGTATATCTTCTTTGTAATAAAGACCAAGGACCTGATTTAATCTCATTTTTAAAGCATTAGCAGTCAATAAAACAGTCACCACTAAAAGGTACCAGTAGGTTTTGCTTTGGTGGGAAAAAAAATCTCTTCTGTACCCTCAGGTGTAGTGGAAAGCCCATTAAATATAGTTCCCCCTTTGCATTTTTTGCCTTTTTAAACTGTCTTTTGATAAAACAAAGTGTGCCAAATGAAATCGGTTAGAAAGTTTCGTGCAACGGTCTTGTCATGCACCATTCATCCTGTTATCCAGGAACCTCTCAAGTGCTCTTTGCAAGCTGAGTACACACTTGGCTGGAGAGGAAAGAAGTAGGAAAGATCAACAGAAGGCTGCCATCCAATATCGTGTTCAAAGTCACAATGTAACAGCTTACTGACTGTGGGATCCCTGGTGATTTTGAGTTCAAATAATAAACAATGGCCAGACTATCAAATTCTCCATTTGAAAAGTAACTTAACCAACACTCACCAGAGCGTGAGGATTTCATGTTTATGCAATTAGCTCAAATCTAAAATTTTGTTATTTCTCTGTCAAGTGTACTTCCGTGTAAGTATGAGACTAAGGGGGAGTAAAAAGGCAGAAGTGGCTTTCTCTAAAGCTGTTCCTACTGATGTAGGGGAATGAAACTCCCAACCTGAAAGATTTTTTTTATTAATTTTATTGAGAAAGAAATAGCAATGAGACAGTTTCAAAACACATTAGTAGGACAGTTATATTAATTATTACATTGCATTTTGTTGTCTTCATTGTAGTTATTCAGAGTACAAAATGCGGACATGATATCTTGTCTAAACACTATTAGTATAAATCTTTCTTCTCACTGAACTAAGAGAAAGTAGCTGCAACCTGAAAGATATTGTCATGAGTTCGTTTTCTGCAAACCAGAAAAACAAATTTTAGGAGCAACGAAGGTTAAGAACAGAATATATTTGGAGGAATATTATCCTCTTCTTTCCAAGAGAGGGAAGAAGAGGATTTGAATGGGTTGCCAAGGAATATGCCTTTTCTAGGGATTTTTATAAAGCAAAATCATAGGTGAGGTGGGTGTAAGGTGGAAAAATGGTAAATCACATATGTGGTGGGTGAAGCTATAGTCATCTGATAAGATTAATTACTCAGGTGAAATGGACTAAATTGAGATCAAATGGGGAAGTGAATCCATAGCACACAGACATGGATATAGAACATGGGCTCTTTCTGTAGGGATTAGATTAGTGACTCTTCCTGGCTTCCACAAGGTGATAGAGACCTATTTAGAATATCAATACCAAATGTAGCCCATCCCTAGTGAGGCATATGGCTACATTTGTTCAGTCTTTTGTCTTGAGATCCGGCCCACAGTGGTTGTGTCTGTCTCTCCCACAATTGCAAGGTATCATGTTTTCCATATTGGGTCCTTTGAGGGTCTAGCTCTGTCTGACTGCCTATAATATTTCTATCTAACTCAGAAGACTACAGTATTACCCCCTCTCTGATCTCTACCTAATGAAGTATATGCCATGTTCAGTAGTAGGCATTTATCTTGCCAATGAAGACAGGGGCTTTATACTATATGTAGAGCTTTCTATCCATTTCATTCTTTCCTTCTTTTCTTCTCTCTCCTCTGCTTTAACTGTTCTGCACTTTCTTGATTAGTTAAACTGCCCTGCATTTGTGCATATATAAAGATACTCTTAATGGACTGAGCTAGAATAATTTTTTGTATCTGAATTTCCTACAAATTAATTTTTAAGGACTTTGAAATTGCTAAATAGGCTCTGGTAGAATAATCATATGACTGTAAAAGAAAAGATATGTGCTACTTCCACATCCTTCTATAATCCCTACAACTGTGATGAACGGGCTCTGGGTGAGCATATTTCCCTTACTATAGATGCTACCAGCTATTGGAAATTTCCAATTTTCTTATCTTCAACAGAATAAAATATTAACCTAAATGCCCTTCTGAAGGCTGTGGTGATATTTAAATGATATTTAGGATGTAGAACTAAAGTGCTGAGCATA